TTTATCTTCCTTTGCTTGAGCACGAGCTCTATGTGCAAGGTACTTCCTCTGTATCCGAGTAGCACTGTCTCTTGGTGACCTCTGCATCCGAGCTCTTGTTCCATGAACCTTCTTAGACTAAGTCTGATTGACTAGAGTAAGAGACTTCTTACTTACACTTTTATGAAAAGGGTATCTAACAATCTCTCCCTAAGTGTAAATAAGGAAGACTCTTACTTGAATGAAAATCTAGTCTATTAAAGCAGAGGCTAATATGATCCTCTATATGTACATTTCTTTTCAAAAGTAATTACAAGTACTAAAAATGGAAATTACATACTAAGAGAAGTTGTCAAAAAAAAAATAACAAGAGAGATACCTAGAGATGTTGAAGTTTCATCAACCTCCTAAGAAGCTCACGGAACTCAAGTACACACTACTAAAAAACCAAGTATCAGCGACGAACATCAGCGAGGGAAAAAATCCCTTGCAGATCAGCGAGGGAAAGGCCAAAAACTCAATCCCTCGGTGATCTCTCGCAGATCAGCGAGGGATGAGCGAGGGAAATGTCAAAAACTCAATCCCTCGCTGATTATTCGCTGATCTCGAGGGATCAGCGAGGGAAATGCCATAAACTCAATCCCTCGCTGATCCCTCGCAGATCAGCGAGGGATCAGCGAGGGAAGTGCCAAAAACTCAATCCCTCGCTGATCTCTCGCTGATCTGCGAGGGATCAGCGAGGGAATCTGATTTTTGCAATTTTTTTTTATTTTTTAACTATTAATTTAATTACTTATTAAATTTTATGTTATTTATTATTTATTAGAATATTACAAAAATTAATTAATAAAACCGAATAAAGCCCATTAAGACCCAATAAAGCCGAATTAAGCCCATTAAGGCCCATTAAACTGAATAAAGTCAAATAAAACTGAATAAAGTTTATTAAGGCCCGATAAACTCAAAATTGCCCGGTAAATGAATTAAAGCCCAATAAAACCGAACAAAGCACAGTTAAATGGATTAAGGCCCAATAAAATCGAACATGAATACATACGAAACCTACATATAAAAATGTGTATATATAACACATATAAAAACAAGAAAAATAAGAAAATAGGATAATTCCTTCGTTGATCCCTCGCTGATCGGAATTGACAAAAATCATATTCCCTCACTGATCCCTCGTTAATCAGCGAGGGATTTGGTGAAAATCAGATTCCCTCGTTGATCCCTCGATGATCAGCGAGGGATCAGCGAGGAAATCTGATTTTCGCATTTTTTTTTTATTTTTTAACTATTAATTTAATTACTTATTAACTTTTAATTATTGATTATTAAATTTTAAGTTATTTATTATTTATTAGAATATTACAAAAATTAATTAATAAAACCGAATAAAGCCCATTAAGGCCCAATAAAACCGAATTAAGCCCATTAAGGCCCATTAAACCGAATAAAGTCAAATAAAACTGAATAAAGTTTATTAAGACCCGATAAACTCAAAATAGCCCGGTAAATGGATTAAGGCCCAATAAAACCGAACAAAGCACATTTAAATGGGTTAAGACCCAATAAAGCCGAATAAATCCGCATATAACACACACACACATTATCTATACATTCACATATATACACATACGTTTAAACATATATATATCAATCCAATCGTGGTTAGCAACCAGTACACATCGTGTATATATATGTATATGACATTGATCGACGGGTATATATACATCCCAGTACACATATAACGTCGTGTAAACATATGTATATAACACGGGCTGACGGGTATATATACTTATAACACATGCACATGTATACATATGCTACCTAAATATAAAAATGTGTACATGTAACACATAAAAATCAAGAAAATAGGACAATTTCCTCGCTGATCTACGAGGGATCAGCGAGGGAATTGGCAAAAATTAGTTTTCCTCGCTGATCCCTCGCGGATCAGCGAACGATCAGCGAGGGAATTGTTATTCTCTCGCTGATCCCTCGCTGATTTTCCTATTTTTCCTATTTTCTCATTTTTATGTGTTATATGTACATATTTTTATGTGTTGGTGTCGTATGTATACATGTATATGTGTTGTTTGTGTATATATATGTTGTGGTTGCTAACCGTGATATGTATTATATGTACACATGTACATGTGTTATAAGTATATATATTCGTCGCCCCGTGTTATATATATATATATATATATATATATGTGTGTGTGTGTGTGTGTGTATGTTTACACGATGTTGTAATTGTTTATGTATATATATCCGTCAGTCCGTGTTATATACATATGTATACACGATGTGTATAGATGTGTGGTGGTTGCTAACCACGATTGGATCGATGTATATATACTCGTCGATTCGATTTTATTAGGCTTTATTCGGTTTTACTAGGCCTTAAGGGACTTTATTCGGTTTTATTGGGCCTTAATAGTCCTGATTCGGTTTTATTGGGTCTTAAGAGACTTTATTTGGTTTTATTGGGCCTTAAGGGACTTTATTCAGTTTTATTGGGCCTTAATCCATTTATCGAGTCTTAATGGGCGGGATTCGGTTTTATTGGGCCTTGATGGGCTTGATTCGGTTTTAGTGGACCTTAATGGGCTTGTTTCGATTTTATTGGGCTTTAATGGGATTTATTCGGTTTATTGGACCTTAATGGGATTTATTCGGTTTCATAATTTAATAATTTAATAATTAATTAAATTTATAGTTACTAATTAAAAAAGTAATTTAATAAATTAAATAATAATAAAAACTTTTTTGCGATGGAATGGATCTGTCGCTGATGTTTTTAAACAAAACTAGGTCAAGCCTCCATTTCAGATACAATGTGTTCCATTTCAGATTTGAGGTAGAGCTCTACACCGTCGCGAGCACCACCGTCCTCACCGTCGCCGACCACCGCCGTCCTCACCGTCGCCGACCACCGCTGCTGACCCCTTTGCGACCACCACAGCCGCGCCGTTTGCGACCACCACCGCTGCTGTCCCCTTTGCGACCCCCGCCGTCCTCACCGTCGCCGACCCCCGCCGTCCTCACCGTCGCCAACCACTGCCGCTGTTCCCTTTGCGACCACCACAGCGGCCCCCTTTGCGACCACCACCGCCGTTGTCCCCTTTGCGAGCACCACCGTCCTCACCGTCGCCGACCACCGCCGTCCTCACCATCCCCTTGCAGTTAAGGTACGATTTTGTTTGAGTTTGTCCAACTGTTTTGTCCAACTGTTTTCATCTTATTATGTGAGTTTATGAAGAAAAGGAGAAACTGGAAAGTACATGTAATGTAGAACGAAGAGTGTGACCTTCATTCCCCTTTGCTTGTGAAATCAATATTTTAAGTTGTGTTTGAGATCTGTTGTTTATCTAAATAGTTAAAAAAAATATTTATTATTAATACCACATCCAAATAAATCAATAAATTATTTTTATAAGTAAATCCAAACAAAAGATACTTACAAAATATTTTTTACTAGAAAAAAATATTATTTTTTATTATTCTTAGCCATCAGAATTTTGAAATTAAATGCATAGAAGATAAAAATAATATTTTATAAAGAACGAACATGATTATGTTTTTTTTGTTTGTTTAGTTAAATGGACGAACATGAACAATAGTCTTGTTCGTTCATTAATATGTGAAATATATTTCAGGATTCCTTTTTTATCTCTTCTATTTACCCGGTTTTTCATTTCATTATGTTATTTTTTTAGGAATGGAACAATGAGTAATGGTGGTTGCTTTTAGTATATTTGTGTTTGTTCGTTTAGCATCATAACGAACATAAACGAACATGAAAAAGTATATTTTCTTAACAGACGAACATGAACACATACAAAAATCGTTCATTTCGCGTTCGTAAATAACAAGTTAAGTAACACAAACAAACATACGCAAAGGAGACAGATGAAGGAGAACCATACACCAGCTTCTACAAAATACCACCAGAAAGGAATGCAAGGAGAACATGTAATCATTTTGACTTGATTCCATCAAATTACAAATTTGCAGAACTTGACATAATCTTTGATGTTATTGAAGAGCTACAAGCCATAGTTTACTACTCTGGTTATCTAATCATTGACTACATTAGGCTTGATTATATATATATTTGTAGTTGGGTTGCCAATTGTTGGGCAAACATTAAGCTTAATTCATTTGGAAATATTCATTTTATAGTCGTTATGTCGGCGGAATTTTTAAAAACATAGGCTTCTCAACTCTTTCAAAGACCGCCAATTTCATTCACACCTACGGTTTGACTTTCAAGTAGTCAAACCTTTACACTTAGAGTTTTAAAGTC